TTTTTTTGAGGATACCATACTTTACAGCAAAAGTCTGTAAAAATTTTACAGATGAAATGTGGGAAAAAAATTACAGATAATTACCGGAATGTAAATTACAAGTGTTCTGTAATTTTACAAACTATGGTAATTTTACCATAGAAAGTCTTTGTGCAAATAGTATACCCAGACTTTTCCTGCAAAATTTCCGATCTTTTTTGACAGTCCTTAACCAGAGTAAAAGATAGCTAACACCTTCATGCTACTTAAATATTCTTTATTTTTAGCCAAAGGTTTTTAAGGTAGCATCTGCTAAAAAGTTAAGAATCGTCGGTAAGAAGGTGTGCAACTTAGTGTTCAACACTCCAAAGTGCACGTACGTTGAACACTTTCGTTGGAAATGAATATTGACTTTGGGATAAATTTCAGAGGTAAAATGTTTAGAGGAACATTGCCTTTTTTTAGAGAAAAAATACCATTGTACATAAAATTTTATTTTTAATCTGACATGAAAAATTGCATGGTTAGAGGAAAATTCTTAAGACGAACTGCCCTCTTCCCCCTACAGTCAAACATTTCAAAATCGCTCTCGTCACGCTATAGAGGCATATTTTAAAAGTAAGTGACAATTTTTTTCACTGGCGCAGGTCTCCTTGTTTAAACAAGGCATGCCTGAATCGTGCACGCCACTAAGTGGTGTGCCGGACTGTTGCATGCTGTATTTTATGTGAAATTGTATTCCAATTCTTTCTGAATTAGACTGTCTCTAGTCCGTTTCCGTGCGATTTAATATTGTTCAATGATACATGATCTCCCGAACCCTTGCGTTTCACAGCCACTGGTGTAAATTCCACCAGGATTTTCTTATCGCGCAGTGCCCTGCCCTGATTCCTTATTCCTTATCGTATACAGGTTTCTGATTTGCTACCTCTCATAAATCTCCATATTTTGAGAAATGAGGGAAAATTCAAAGCCTAACGAATCTGGGTACTAGGTGACACAGTACGAACGCGACATTGGCAGATTCAGTTTTTAACGTAGATTACGAATTTCATAATTATATTGCTCTACGGTGGCTTTCTGAATCTACAGGGTCGTTTTCCGATTTGACACCCAAAAGCCCACAAGAAACCCATGTTAAAATGCACAGACGTTGAGCAAGTGGGTCCCGGGGTCCGATCGGGACGAACAGGGTGGTTGTTGAATGCCAAGAGCCTGGGTCATCTCCATCTTTCAGAACTAACCGCCGGTCTGATATTTTTTTTTGCCGTAGGCCAACCCGAAGTGCGTTTCGTTACTCTAGTGAGCTTCGCAAGCCAGCTTGTTCAATTCCACTCGTTCCTCCGCGACAGCGTCTTGATGGCGCCAGCCCCACACATGATGGGATCCGTCGCCCGAGCGCAGCACGCGTGCCTTCATCGCTGCTGCGCTAGTGGTCTTGAGGTCGTAGGCCGCCCCCAGAGCGGCCATAGCGTCGATAAAGGCTGTGTTCAGGTTGGTGAGGTAGTAACTGTACTCGGACGCCTTGTAGTCCCACGGAAATACATGGTGAAAGTTGTGTTGGCCCTCTCCCAACGTGAGTAGATTGAGAAGGGAGGTCTGGGCAGCCGAAATCGCCCTGAAGACAGTTCGGACAAAAAGAATTACAGTGTGAAGCTGGACTAAGCACAACACGCACGCTAGGCCATTCCATTTTTCGGTTCTAACTCGGCGATTTCTTAGGTCGGTGCTTTAAATGATAGATTTGACCTTGTAATGAAGGTAGGTGCAAACATGGACGCGATCGGACAACGTTTTCCCGTCGCGCATCGCGATTTTCGTTTCAGGAGCCCAAACGCCCTTTTACGCACCGCCATGTTGGAGGCACTGGAGCACCAGCTTGGTGCGCGCAGAGCAGGTGTCTTGCAGCTCATGTGTGGCCCATAGGACCCTGCTTCTGGACCGGCAAGTAAAATCTAGTGTCCAAACCCCCATGTGCCCGTTAGGGGCTTAAGTCTCTGGACGGACTCGTCATGCGCTGTACGGAACGGGTTTGTGATTTTCGAAATTTCTCCTTTGCGGAAATTAGGCTCGGACTATACCCCAACTAAGCCCGTAAAGAACGCAGCCAAGGCGCGATTACTGAAAAAAAATTGAAAAATCTTGTATTTCTGCATCTGGGGTGGGCCGAATGGGTAGCACCGGCGTTGTACGGCCAGAGGAGGTTGCTGGCGGCTCATGCGTGGCCCTGTGGACCCTACTTCTGAACTGGAAACGGCAAACGTTTTCTAACCCCCCATTCGGCCCACCCTCAACGCTCAAGTTGAACATTTAAAAGTGTGCAACACACCTGTTGATCACTTCCAGCTATTCAAAACTCGTGTTGCACACATAGAAGTATGCCACGTGCCACACGGTGTTAAACACTTTTAAGTGTGTGTCAGTTGCACACTTTATATATCAGTGTATTTTTGATGCGAACGTTTCGAGGTTGACCCTTAAAATAAGTTCTGAGTAACAGCAGCGCATGATCTGGGTTTAGCCTTTTTTACCTAGAGGAATTGGTGACGGAATTTAGTTATTACGGAAATTAAAAGTGGCCATGTATGAATGTCTACGCTAAGAGAGGCTTGCCTGGGTGATGCGTCCACTTCTACCTTCAAAGATATCAGATAGCAAAAGTTTCTAATGTACAGAAATGTTCCGGGAACAGTTTGTTGAGATTTGGCACCAAGAAACAACAACTTTCGAAGCTTTTTTCTCGTATCTTAACCTAGCTTGGAAGCTGGCGATTGTTGGTTCGACACGGTAACTAATCAAACGAATAAATCACACGATAAACGTCACGCAGCGCTGGGAGGGAAGAAAACGCGGCTATTACATCACCTAAACATCTAAGCGTGGCTCACGGTGGACATTTTCTGTCTTCACTTTCTGGATAGAAGAAATTTGAAAGTCGAAGCCGTTCGTCCCCAATTTGTTGGTCAAGATGTTAACTTTAAATAACAGCAATGTGTTTGCTTTAAACTCTTCCGGATTTAAATTAAAAGAGACCTGAAGTCTGGCTTTATGGTAACAGGACAGTGACGCAGCCTACCGGGAGCACACATTTTAGCCACTGAGCCTTTGACTAGAGCTTGTTAATTCCAAAACGTGTTTGGATATTGAAGTCCATACCGCGTTCAGTGAGGGAGAACGGGCACTCCTAGCTACTAAAAGGCAATTTTTAGAAGAGAAAGACACGAAATGACATCCTGTGCTGGGAATCACCCGTCATCCAACGGGCCTTGAGCCGTAGTATTTCAAGAGGGAAAAATCCGCTGAGTTGTTCCAAAATACAGACGTGTCCGAAATTAGAGCACATTCAGTCCCTAATTTCGGACAGTCTCTAAATGTCTGCTGTGGTTTACCATGTTTAGCTATAAATTTGACGCGGGTATTATTCGATAGGTCCTGACCCATTGTACCTTCAATCTCAACAGACTTTTTATAGGTACTCTTTCAGGTGTCCACGAAACAGACGGAAAACATCTAATTTTGTCCACAGCTAGGGCTCATTCCTGTAGCTTTAACACAGGTGTATTTCTTTGTGGCGTGCACGACAATGGCCAAACTAGCTTTCATGATAAATGTGAGGGGAGCTTACCCGTCGTAGGGTCTGTCTCCGACGTAATGAGCAATGGAAGTGAGGCAGAATTGGATCTGTAGGGTAAAAACAAAACGGCAGACGGCGGCAGTAAAGAAGGCCGTGAAGAGTGACTCGCCCCACAGGATCGGCACCACAGTCGGCATGACGAAGCAGAGTGCGATGCCAAGTTTCAAGAAATGCCTGGAAATTAAAATTGTTTTGTAAGTATCGATTTTTAGCAATCAGGTCTTGCTTACGGGCAGGGCCCTGCATTGGGTGACCCTAGTGGTGTGCGTATCACCCTTTTTCAGAGTCGGATCGAATCGAATCTTGATTTTTTTTCCCTCGAATCGAATCTTGAAATTTTACCCCGAATCGAATCGAATCTTACTATTTCGTATGCGAATCAAATCATTTCTTATCATTCTAGGAGATCCTTTTGCGAAAGGTGGTAACAGGTAGGATTGTAACCTTGGGATTAGTGCACTGTTAAAATCCTGCGCACATCAACGCTTTGCAGAACTGCAAAGTATGTATCCTTTGTAATTACGAATCATTTACTTCGCAACAACAAAGTATGCTTTGCAATTGCGAAGCAATGAAAACACGCTGAAAAGCATCGCTTTTCAGTTGCAAAGCATCAAGCACCACGTTGTAAAGGCAAAATAAATTCTTCGTTGTTACAAAGGATCTAAATACTTGCTTTGCAGGAAGTAAACAGTAGTGTAGAGATTCTCTTCAGTCTCTCGAGCTGGTAGTAGCGACGGTCCAGCGGCGGCATTCACCAACCCTACCTCACCCTAGACACCTTCACTTTGCCAAAAGTGTTCAGGTTTTGAGCGGGCTGATTCCTTAAGTGATTTACTTCCAAAATGATGAACAAAAATATTTTTTTCAGATTTTTTAGACTGGGCAAAAGGTCACTCTGGGCCTTCAAATTTCACTCTTATTTTAGGTGGATTTCATGCTAAAATGTATTGGAAAGTTCTGCACTATTGTATGATTGCGGGTGGATCTGAGGATTTCCGGGTCAATGTGCGCATGATTTCATGAGCAGTGGCCTAGGCTGCCCCCCCCCCCCCCCACCCAAAAAAAAGGAATGAAAAAAATATGTAAAAATCAGAGTTTATGAAAACAGCGCTGCATTTTTTCCTTTAGACGCTAAACCATTGTGATTGTTTCCCGTATTTCGAACATAAGCTCTTCACTGTAAAAAAAAATCTGCAAATTCAGTAGATGTTTTTCAGAATATGCACTCTGAATCTTGTTGTCAGACCATTACTCAATTTTTACTTTTTTTGAGTTTAGACTGATATCCAGACTTTTTGCTCTGAATCAGGTTTTCAGAGCAATTTGTCTGAATGAATATTTTAAAGTATATTTTCAGACTATTAACTGAATCTGTAATTCACATTTACTGGTATGAATTTTGAGTGGGAAGTCCACATGGATAGGTGGACGAAGCAAACCAGTAGCCGACGCTGCTCCCCACGCAGGTAGCCGGCAGCGGAATAGTTAACGTGGTGGCTTCCAGAGGCGTATCGACTGGTCTGTTTTCCAGGAGGGGGCAAACGGTCCAAAGTGTTGTGGGTCGTCTACCTACGGGGGTTTGTCTTATTGCGCTAAATAAGTGCTATTAATGGTGCTGTCCACGCCAACTCGACGACAAGTGACCCAGTGGCAGTTTCGATTGTTCTACGGTAATCGATGCTACTTCAAGTCCCACACATGACCCCGAAAGAAATTTTATGGATATTTCACCTAGGGTGGGGTGGGGCGGATCAAAGTTCTAGCCCCCTCTCCCTCTAAGTCACTATTTCCGGCCGTGCGCCGGACTGGGCGCGTGCAGCGCAATCAAATCTCGCCAGTGGGTAGCACTACACAAGCCCTCGAGGGTGGAAAGGTGAAAACCGAAATATTCGCCGCTTTCGGAATCAATTAGATATTTCGAAACCAACACGTTAACTCAATTATCTAAAAAAAAAACACAAAAAAAAACAACAACTATATTTTGCGGTCCCCTAGAGATCCCATTAATATTATTTCTGGGATTAGGAGCTATGGGTGGTTTCTAAATGGGCCCGATATGCCGACGAAATCAAAATAGGTTTTCGAGAATTGAGTGTTGGTGTGGTGGTCAAGTGTTGGTTTCGAAATTTCCAATTTATTCTGAAAGTGGAAAATATTTTTGTTTGCCGCCTTGCGTTCTCGAAGGGTCTTGTATAGTGTCAACCACTGGCAAAATGTGATTGCTCTCTCACGCGCGCAACTAGGCGCGCGGGCGGACATAGTGATTTGGAGTGGCTGGGGGCAGGAACTTTGATCCGCCCCCCCAGTCCACACCAGTAGAGATATCGACAAAATTTCTTCGGGGTCCTGCGTGAGACCTGAAGGCAGAGATCTCTGCGATGGGCGGGTGGCCCCCGCCCGGCAGCACCGAACGGCCGAACGCTCGTCGCCAGAGCGCCCGGCCCGGCCCGTCTCGTCTTGTTCTAGTACGCTTGTTAAGTGTGTAAGAACACAACATTGTGTTGCCGAACCATGTTTGGATTTCTAATTTTCCAAACAGATCGGGGTGCAAACTTTCCCGTTAATTAATTAGAAATTTTTAAAAACGTTAACATTACGTCATGGCCCCTGCAGCATAAAATGGTATGCCGACCCGGAACACTGAACATAACGGTGTTCGCTCTGTCTGAACAAGGCACTGACCACCTGGTACCTGGATTGACACTATGTTGCCGGTGTGGTAGCATGAATGTGTGCACCGCAGAAAGTTCGGTTGACCACCAGAAAGCTTGGTGGCTGTAACATTTTAGAAATTTACTTCATTTCGCTCTCTGTTTTGGGTACAATCAACAAGTGGCGGCGGGCGGGGCCTTGAGCACGGTGTCGATTGTTGGCGGTACTGAGGTAATGTGGAATTGCACTCCAACAGGTGGTCGCGACGACATCACGCTCTTGTCCCCCGCGCGCGGCGGTTGTGGTAGAAACGGGTTCGTTTAAAAAGGTGGCAGTGTTTTAGGGTGGCCCAAAAAAAATCAAAATGTTCGGAGAGAGCAACGCTGGTCAAAATCGAGTAGTGGATGAAAAATAAAAGCTTACGTGTTTTTTCCTTTTGCTGTGAGAT